TCCAAGTCACTGATGAAGATGTTAAACAGTGCGGGCCCGAGGACCGAGCCCTGGGGTACCCCACTGCTCACATCTCACCAGGTTAAGTACAACCCATCCACCACTACTCTCTGGGTGCGCCCCATCAGCCAATTTTTGACCCATCCAAATGTGCAGGCATCAATGCCACAGTCACTTAATTTATTGATGAGGATGGGATGAGACAGTGTCAAAGGCCTTCTTAAAGTCTAGAAAGACTACCATCCACGGCGACACCATCCAAGGATTTAGTTACTTAGTTATAAAAGGCAATCAGGTTGGTCAGGCAGGACCTACTTTTGATGAACTCATGCTGGTTGCCCCTGAGCATGATCTCCCCTGCAGGCCCCCCACAGATGTGCTCCTTGATGATTCTCTCCAAGATCTTCCCAGGCACGGAGGTGAGGCTTCCAGGCCTATAGTTAACTTGGGTCCTCCTTCCTCCCCTTCTTGAAGATTGGGACTACATTAGCCAGTTTCCAATCCCCCAGCACCTGGCCAGATGACCACAAATACTCATACAGCCAGTCCAAGGGCTCCACGATGACCCCTGCCAGCTCCCTCAACACCCTTGGGTGGAGGTCAGCTGGACCTGCAGATTTAAAAATGTCTAGCCCTTCCAGAAGATCCCCAACTACATCTGCACTGACAGAAGGCCTGACAGAGCTATCCCCGAGATTGTCCCTACCTCTGATAGGTGGGATGTCCTGGTCCTGGTTCAAGAAAACAGAGGCAAAAAAACTGTTAAAAATATCAGCTTTCTTGTCTGGCGTAGCCACAAGATTATCATTTGCATCTTGCAGGCGCCCTACATTGCCTGGTGCCCTCTTCTTGCTCCCAATGTACTTGAAAAAGGACTTTTTGTTGTCCTTAATCCTGGATGCTAGCCTGAGCCACAAACTAGACTGCAGCCAAGTAAGAATGCACAGAACATAGCTGCATAAAGGGAAGCAAGTTTTCAATAACTAAGAAATAAGGAGCATGGTACAGTAAAAAAAAAAATAAATTCCACAAACCTGCAGAAGAGCTGCAAAATGTGCAGTATCACTTATCTAAGTTGCAACATGTTACAGTTCCTTTTGTAACAGAAGGAGCCAATACAATGCCTGCATAATTCTGCAAGGAGTTACTCAAAAGATACTAGAAAAAATGCATCTCACTGTACCCAGCAAGACTATAAACAATCAGCTGAGGCTTACACAGAAAAAACAGAGTCCAATATAAATGTTTAAAGATGACACCAGTACTTTTTTTTTTTTTTTTTTAAACACAGTATGCAGTTTGCTTATGGAACTCTTTGCCACAAAGTTGTAGAAGCAGATAACAGAGAACTTCAAAAAGGGGATTAGACAAATTCATACATGACAGGACCATAAATGCTGTTAAACAGAACACCCAGGGATAATATCCCTAAAGCAATGATGGCGGCTGCTCAGGTTGGTATGACGGGAATGTGCCGTGTTCCTATGCTCTTCTTCTAAAGCATCTTCTACTGCCAGTCAGAAACAGGATAGTGGGCTAGATGGACTCTTAGTCTGACCCAGTATGGCACTGCTTATATTCATATGTACCAGACAAAGTAGTAAATGGAAGTGAGAAGTTTTGAACCAGCATAATAAAGACAAATGTGGTCTTGGGGGTGGAGGTTATGGGAAATAAGTGGAATGAAATCAAACTGGTTGAAATAAAAACATTTTTAAATTGTCTTTAAGAGGAAGAAGGCATAAGATAGCCTTGAGAAAAATCAGAAATAGGTTTCTATAGTGCAGGTAAATGAATTTGGGAAAATATGGATCTAGAAGAAAAACTAAGTCAGGGTAAGATGCATCTTAGAATACCAAGAGAATGATTTACTTTTAAAACTTCTCAGAATACCAATACTATTTTTAAAAGGCCACAGAAAACTGGGAGGAAGAAGGACCAAAGAGAGAGGGAGAGAGAGAGAGGTTTTAGGACTGATCTTAAAAAAAAAAAAAAAAAAAGGCATTTAAAGTAAAGATCTTACAGTGATAGCAAATGACTGATTTCTGTGCTCTCTCATTAGATCATTTTGAGTGGAACAAGCTATTGCATAGAACATTTTTCTCCACACAACCCAGAGAAGTACATGTGCACTAAGAAATGACACTCCAGTGGGCACTGCTTTTCCTTCTTCGTGACTGTTGAGTCAGTCCCTTACCTCAACATTCATGGTACTGAGCTGCTGACAGTCTTGCCTAAAGACATGAACAAGTGGGTCTGGACTGTATCTGGCATTACTTTCAGTAAGAATATTAGCATTAGATCTGATACCCGAGAAAAATCCAGTGGAAGAAATCGTTCCTTTTAAATTCCACAAGTGACGAAGGTAGTCTTTACTTCCTGTCTTGCACTGTTACATTGCTCAGCAGTGTTAAAGATCTGCCCCATTCCATATTAGAGAGAGCTGTATTTCACTGGGGAGTGAGCCTTGTGACTGACTGCCTCACAAGACTGCTGTGAAACCTATCACTTAATGCCTTATATTCTATATGGGGTCTAATACTGCCCATGTCAGCATAATATCTGAAGTGCCTTCCAGGGGTGTCTTTCATGAAATGAATAACATTAGTCAGGTCTGGTCCACAGTTTCTCTCATCAGGGGAAATGGTGTACAGCAGAGGGCTTGGGGTCGGTAGGAATGGAGCCTAGAATGCTGAATTCCTGGTCAAACACTTTAGCTACAAGGTTTTCTCCTCCTCTTTACAATGTCACACTGATGTAGTACTCTTCATTCTATTTACCTTAAGAGACTCAAAGATTCTTTCAAAACGGAGTCCATTATTCCATTAGCTATCAAAATTACAGTTACTGGATGACACCTGTGATCGTCAGAATAATGCTTTATATAACTGCATAACTCAAGGACATCAAAGGGCTCTAAAAGCATTAAGAGTCAGATTTGCAGAAGGGCTGAGCACCCACAGCCCCACATGGAGTTATTAGAACAAACATACATGAGCCCTGCCACATTGTTTGCAGCTAGTCAGCAAGCCAGGGCTGATGATAAAGATGTTATAGGTAGGTATATAGGAGGTCTCACCTGGAAATCTTGCTAGGTCTGATCTTATTTTACATTAGTAAAAGGGTAATTAGCCATATTAGTTTAAAGTCAGGCAGAAGGCAGGGCACGGAGGCACTTTAGA